TCGGGACACGCTCCAGATTTGCAAGCTTTGCAAGCCAAAGCTGCCGACGTATGTTTCAGAGGCTCTAAATCTTGAACTTAGAGATTTTCTCCGGAAATCTCTAGTGATTCCAGCCTGAGCAACCGAAACTCTTGGCATGCTTCGATTCTTTGGCTCCACGCTCCGAACGAAGCCGACAGGTCTCTCAGTCCTTGAGGAGCTCGTGATCCCTAGAAAGTGACGGTGTGGTCAGGCTTGTCTGCATCCTCGGACTTCAACACCTGCGCTGCCTGGCGAGATGTCAAAATCTCACCTCTCGGACTGCAGAAGATCCTGGAGCACGGCCTTGAACCGACCCGCTTTGCGGATGAGGTGGCGGTTGCCGGGAAGTTCGAGCTCCTTTGAATCTTCATGGCTTCTTGAAGCTACCAGGCGGAAGGTGGTGAGTTCATGCCAGCTCCTCCACTTTTTCCACCTTGACCGCCGGCTCTACGACGATGCAGCTGAGGGTTTTCAGTGCACTCCAGTACTTTCCTCAGCTTTGCAGACTTGGAGCGAAGACGCCAACTTCTCTCAACACTTTGGGCCGGAACTCTCGGAAATAGCGAAGGAGGGGGCCTGCAAACTAAGTCTCGACATGAGGGCTCTGGAAAGGAACCTACCAAGGCCCTCGGTGCGTTTCCGTCTCTTGTCCGCTGTGTCTTGCAGTATGCTCACCCTTGAGGCACCCTAAGACGCACATCGACATCCGAGATCTGGAGTCGATCTCACGCTGTGCTGTGGACGAACTGAGTAGTTGCTTCAGTCAAGTTAAATCAAGCCCAGCTGCGGTACTTGTGCCAAACATCCTTATTCGCTGCCTGGGCCGGAATCAGGGCCCCAGAGATTGCAGTGGCCACACACATGACAATGCTACAACTTGCCGATGCATCATGCATCCCTACTAGCGCTACAGTCCAGCAAGCAGGATCCATCAGGATCCCGAAACCTGACTAACTTCCTCTTGCATGATGTTAGATGTGACGAGGACTAGAGATGAAAGCCCAGGTGCGAGGAAGGCCTTGGAGACTTTCGCCTGACAAGGGGGGCGGCCAGCATGTGTTGGCCATGCCTATCCTTGCTCGAAAGCTTGGGGCATCTTAGGGGCGTTCATTAGCCACCTCTCGTGTTGCACCGAGCGTCTCCTACGAGTAGGTGATTCGGCTGAACAAGCAGCCGCGACGAAGGTGTCTCAATAGCACCAATAACAACACGAATGCGCGTGCAATTGCAGCAAACGCCTCTCGTAGGTGGTCGGTGGCATGACACATGCTTCGCTAATTAGTGAGCTTTTCACAGGTCGGCCTGCCGCCAGTTCAAGTGATTGACCGGTGCGGCGTCTATCAAGGCACAGCCTGCAGCACGAGGAGCACAGAACACTGCATGACCAAACGAGGCAAACGAGGAAGTTGACTCTGTGGTGCGGGCTGCTGGAGAGCTTCTTCTTGGTTGATAGGAACTTGCACCACACCATGTCCTTGGAGGAGATCATCCCACGACTTCTGCAGAGGGGCTCCACTCCTCGGCTCAGGCCCCGACCAGGCCCCAGTCCTCAGCTTCCATTGCTCCACACGCGTTTGGGCCGCAAGGGTTTGGGCATTTGCCCACGTTCTCAGCCCGGGTCTGATGTGTCGTGGATGCAGTCCGTGCCTTGGGTTTGGACAACTTGGCTCCGGTGCGTTCGGAAGCCCTTCTTTCCCCAAAGCTGAAGCTCACCAACAAAAGGCAAACCGTCCTGCAATATCAAGACTGCCACCGAGGTGCACTGATTAAACACAATTGGAAGTGCCGCTGGACTGAGCAGCGGCGCAGTCAGTTCTACAAAGTCGGTGTGCCGATAATCCTGAGCTGGCAACTGCTCCCACAAAGCACTGTGCTTCCGCAAACCGCAACTGCCAGAATGAATTAGATCCTCGTTTCTGCGTATGGAATGAAATTAAAATCATGGTGGGGAGACTACAGCCTAGCCCTGCCTCAGCAGAAGCAGCAGCAACAACAGCAACTGGCAGCAGAAGCAAGAACAAGAATAGAGAGACGCGCAATGCTGGCGTAACACATCAAGCCCCGCGGAATTGCAAAACCACATCACAGAACCTAATTAGAACTCGGACGAAGCGAACAAGCGCTTGCTCCTATTGACTGCCGGCAAATCCATGACCCCACACCTCGTGTCCAAGACACACACTTGGGGCTAGGTCTCTCGAATATCCAGATGGAGGATTGAAGCTCCTCGTAGCTTCCTCGGTGGCTTCTCTGGACAGGGCGTTCGTATTGCACTGTTTATGGCCAGAGCCTGAGCACCCTTGCAAGCGTTTGAGCACAGCCTTAACTGTAGTCGGGACCACACTAGCACCAGGTAGCACCAGTGCTTGAGCCCGTAGGTCTCACGAGAAAGCCTTTAATCTTTAATTTAGTCTCTGCAGTGCCGACAGAGCCGTCTTCAGCGGTATGGGAAATTCAGTCTCGGGAAGCGAAGAAGCAACGGCAACAGCGCACTCTGTCCGCATTAGATCAGAGGCAACGAGATACCTGAAAGCAGCCAAGCTTTAGTCCACACAGCCCATGGTAAACGACAAACGTAAGAGAACATCTCTTGATCAAGCCATGCGGCCAGAAGCAGAAACATCAGTCTGATCCGTGGCAACCTGGAAACTGCTGTGCAGACAGAACACTCCCAGCCGCGCCCCTAACAAACAGGACGGATGCGAAGGGGCCCTAGGGCGCACCTGGTGGGCTTGCTCCTGCAAGGACGAGGCCTTGTGATGAGGCCTTGGCCAGCTCAGAAGCCATTGCTATTCCCATTATTGTTACAAGTAGTAGTATTGTTGAACCTTATGACTACTATAAGTATTACTCTTATTAGTCTAGGCTGTGGTCTTCATGACCTAGGAGCGTGGAGCTTGCACTGGGCCCGCGGCTCCACGCCCACGTGTTGCGAGGTGTCCTTGTCCGCAGGACATCGCAGCAAAATTCAAGGCTTGGCCAGGAGCCTCTAGCTTCACGAGTTTCCCTCTGCACTTGGCACAGCTCACCTTGCATGAAGCACTTGGCTGGGCCTTCTCCGCTTTCGTTGCAGGGTGGCCGTGCTTCTTGTGCGCTTTTGGGGAGTGCTTGGCTGCCTGACAGTGATCGGCACTTGACCCATCGGGAGTTTAAAGAGAGAAGCAGTAGGCATATGCCTCCTCGCCCGAACAGAGGCCTCTACTGCACTCTTGTCTCTGCCCCTTTCCCTCCCACATGTTTCACTCTTTGCTCCGCGTCCCTGCCACCAAAAATGTAAATAATCCCTCATTTAAGTTGCACATTCGACGATTCCCTGCTTCAAGATGGAGCAAGGGATGTGCCGAGAAAAAGCTGTGCGAAGTGGTCGTCTAACTTGAACTTCAGCAGGATAAGAGCTATCCGCAGGCTGCCAGATCTCCGCGCCTTTCCACTGCCCTTCTTGCGGACTCCCAATGGCTTCACCCAATTCACTCCTGGCACTCACTTGTACATCCGTGATACGGCTTCGCTTTTCTAAGCTTGGAGCTCGCCTCAAAGCCCTGGCCCCCGCCCGGAGGCTCGTCCGTTCCCCACGATGCTAGCCTCGCGCCTTTGCCCACGAATGTTGGGCCGACGATGAGGGCGTTGGACAGCCGTGCCATCTCTAAGAGCTTGGTCAGATTCGTTCCTGCCACCCACGTGAATACTTATCTACACTCAGACTAGGACCGGAGGCCCACCTGTGAGATCCAGGTCACTGTCAAGGCCCCAGACGTACTCGTACTTGGACTCCCAGCTCTCCTCGCAAAGCTGGAAAGCAACGCGGCGAAAGAACGCTCCAAAAAAGGCGGCCCAAAGAAGCTCCTCGACATCCATGGCCTTCATGTACGCATCCCGCATGAACTTGAACTTGAATCCTTGCAGAACTTGTGGCTTCAGAGGCCACCGCATCTTCAATCGACCAACCTTATGAGCTTCACATCTGCAGCAGATGCTGCCGGCCTGGACCGACGTAGCTTCCGGCGACATTGTCCTTGTACCACTGGGAACCCCAGTCGTCCGGCTTGCCTCGTCCGGGTTGCTGGTGGAAGTTGCAGATTGCTTGGGTTTGGACATTGAAACCTTGGCAGACGCAAAGAGCGCTGCCAGAGCCGCCTGTGGCCTCCGATCTCCCAACCAACCAACCCAAGTCGGCCCACAGGCTTGAAGAATATTCGAGGCGCCACGGCTGATTTGCAACAGACTCTTCAAAGGAAGCACCCAGATCTTGCCTTTATAGTGAGCAAGCATCACGTGACAGCAGTCTTCGCCCAAGGAGGACCTGGAGAGACTCCCGTCTTCGATTCATGTGAGTTTTGCTGTTCTCAAAGATCCGATACCTGGCAACAGCGTCGCAAATTCTGCACGAACATGGATCAACAGAGAGTCGATCTTTATACAGATCTACACTGCAGGTTGCTCCACATTCCCGAACCGGAAGCATATGCAAAGCTTGGAATGTACAAGCCGAGTGGGCTCCATCAAGCTGCTTCCAGGGCACCGAATGTAATGCACGTTCTTCTTCACCTGCGTAGTCATATTTCTCGTGCCACGGGAAATTAGGAGCAATCCAGATTTCTAGGCACACGAAGACAAAGCTGAAACCCTACAAGAAATAGCGAGAGTAACAAGAGCAAACCCTCTTGCACAAGAGCCGCAGGACAATCTGGGCCAAAATGCCGGAAATATGAATCATTGCTTGCAAGGGATGGTTCCTAGCACCCTGGCCTGTGTCACCGTCCGCTTGGAGTTGTCCACTGGCCAGAAGAGCAGGAGCCGCCTTTGCAGTGATCCTGCCGACGCCGCCGATGCCGCCGAAGCATTGACGGACGCAGTGACATTCGCACTGGCCTGCCGATGGGGTGTCAAGCGAGGACGTTATGATATTTTTGACACCATTGAAATTTCGCACAGCTGACGACATCAGAATGAAGTGCCAATCAGCAAGCTGCGTCACATGTAAATGCTCTCCCCAATGCCTTCTCTTCGTCAGGACTGCCTGAAGAGGCAAGGGCCTGGTTGACAGCTCGCTCAGCGTGTAGATTCGTAGATCGCTGACTTACACTTGAGGAGTCTCTTCTTGCTCGGCTCTCGTGGAAATCAGGCTTTGGTTTTGGCTTCCAGCAGTGTGCTGCATGGTCTCTCAACAGTGGCCGGTCTCAAGGCAGCAGCATACTGGAATCTTGGGCGACGGCGAGAAAAAGTACAGCATAGGGTGAAAACTTCATCCTCAACAGAACACGGGCAGAGAGGTGGGCAAGTGCGACCCATCGCACTCGTACGAGTAGTGCTGGCATTCGGCTCAGGGCTCAAGGGAACATTATTCAAAGAGAGGTGCTCCCCCATCTCTTGTCACTGACCCCCAATGCGTCCAAGGAGCAGCGCAACACGTTCATCAACACTCGGGACGGCCACCTACTTGCTATGAATACCTGCTATAAGAAAAGGTAAGCCTCGCGGCTGCCGGAGCGCAACGGACAAGAGGATAACCCCTCAAAGGAAAGAACACCTCGAAGGATGGGCGAAGGGCTCAACGAATGAGGTCAAACTCAGAGCCGTGCGAGTGTGCTTGACTTGGCAACACCGGAGGTCGCGACTTCTCCTAAACCCTTTAAAGCCCTCGTTCCAGGCTGCACAACAGCTCCTGACTCAGCCGACTGACACTATTGTTACTACTACTACTACTACTACTACTACTACTACTACTCCTACTCCGACTCCTACTGCTACTGCTACTGCTACTGCTACTGCTACTGCTACTGCTACTGCTACTGCTAC